TCAGCAAGCAGATTTCTGATGGCGGCGTCTTTGACGTCGAACCAGTCCTGCTGTTGGCGGGGAGCGCGACCGAGGACGTCGAGTGCCGTCGACTGGACCGTGTCTCACAGTTGACACCAGCGGTTCTCCACGGAGGCGTTCTCGGCAGCGGCGGCGGCGTCGTCGGCGGCAGCGGTTAGAAGGTTGTCTAGCCGTTGAGCTAGCTCATTGCTAAAATGAAGATGGTGAGCCGGCAAAGACAACAAAGCAACATTCAGCTTACCTGGGAGTCGCTTAACTTGTGGTCTCCTGTGAGGCTGTAGGCGAATACGCATCTTCGATATGACGAGGCGATGGTCGGTCCACCCATCAGCGTCCGCGATCGCCTTCGTCACCAGCACGTCCCGCTGATCTCGCCTCCGGACGAGGACATAGTCCAGCATGTGCCACTGACGCGACCGAGGATGCCACCAGGTGGCCTTCTCTCGCTCCGGCAGACAGAAGAACGTGTTCGTCAGGATGAGGCGGTGTTCTGCGCAGGTGCGGAGCAGCAGCAGACCATTGTCGTTTGAGCCGCGGAGACCGCGGGGACCCAGCATTCCTCTCCAAGCAGTATGGCCTGTGCCGACGCGGGCGTTGAAGTCGTCAAGGACAATCAACTTGTCCGCCTTCGGCACAGTCGCCAAGAGGGCGTGCAGGTCCTCGTAGAATTTGTCTCTGACGGAGTCGGGGTTGGTCATCGTCGGAGCGTAGGCGCTGATGATGGTGGCGAATTTGCCCCCACCCCGGAGAGGCAGACGGAGGCTCATAAGGCGGTCGTTGATGCCCTGCGGCAGACTGGGCAGTCGTTCCACGATGTCGTTCCGGATGGCGAAGGCGACGCCCGCGTCTCGTTGCTCTGGCCTAGGCCGACCACTCCAGAAGAAGGTGTAGCCGGCAACCACCTCCTCCAGTTGGCCTTGTTCGGAGAATCGGGTCTCGCTGAGTGCGGCGATGTCCACCTTGTAGCGCGTCAGTTCTCGTACCACTAGCGCCGTCCTCCGTTCCGGTCGGTTGCTCCTCGGATTGTCTAAAAGGGAACGAACATTCCAGGCTGCCAGAATGAGCGGGCTGACCCTGCTAGTCTGGGGACAAGGAGTGGAGCGATGGGAAGGAGGTGGAGAAGAAGATGACGAAGGAGAAGAATAGGCAGAGGAAGAGGTAGAAGAGGTAGGATGAGGAGAATGAGTATGGTTGTTGTTGTTATTGGTATTATTGTTTCGATTTTGAGTGTTTCGACCATGATTAGACGTCTGCGGCCCTGGCTAGCCTGAAGACGGCGTGGTACCCAGCATTTTTTAGGCCACCTTTTTTAGGTCCTTCCCCTCGTGGTGGCAGGCAGTGCCGCCCCTGAATCGGGCTGCCCATGTGCCTGGTTGGCGCGACCGAATCCGACTATGGGGCCACGACTTTTATGTTTGTAGTGGAAAACGACCGCATATGCCGTGAGTCCGCGGTCTCCGTCGGCGAGGGTGGGCGCGTCTTAGCGAAGGCGATGCGCAGGCCCATCCCGGCAGCAGTTGTCCAACGGCGTACTAGGCAGAGCCTCGTCTCGACGATGCCGGCGCAGTTTTTCATCCGACCATCCATCCAGTGGAGTCCGCAGTACACTGTGCACGCGGCACAAGCGCAAAGCGCCCTCACCTGGTTTAGCCCGCCGGTCGAGACGGTTGCCCGGGGTGTGGCCGCTGAGCAGAGCCCAGCTACGTGGAGCCACAGGTGAGAGTTGGGTGCAAGCAAATGGACGCTAGGCGTAGTCTCACCTGCAAGCAAGTGAGCGACCACTACGACCATCACGTGAACCCACCGCTGGACACCCCTACACCCCATAAGGCAATATACTTACATTTACAAAGACTGTTCACTTGAATGAATAAAATCAGGACTTTGGTCAACGTTACTTCCCTGACAGAAATCTGGCTGTCTGGATCTATTGGAAGTTATTGACTATTTAGAGAAGACAGAACAAGCCGAGGAGAATGAGTCATTGTCTTTGTTGGCTACAATTTAATCACGGTGCCCGAGGAAAACCCCATGACAGCAGAATTGAAATTTCTATCTTTATCTATCAACACTAAGCACACTCGGCCACTTGTATTTGCAGTTGAGCACACCCAACTAAACCAGATTGCCGGACGCGATGGACTTCTCCTGATGTAACTGGACAAGACCTGCTTGAGCAACGACGTCCTTATAGTTGGCGACTTAGCCGATGCAAAATCCCTGTCATCCCGTAGCAAAAGTCCGCCCGTCTTTGTTGAGTTGTTTTCACCAATCGAGGCCGACCCAATCTTTGCCCATCCATATCGTATCTCTGCGTATCTACAAAGTGCACAATTTTTCCTTTGTCATGATTTTACTCCATGGAGAGTAGAATTGGGTCCCTCTTCTCACTTATACCCACATCTTCCCAGTCTAATGCTCACCAACTCGATCACTGGGCAAGTAGCCGTGAGGATTCGGCTGGCCATACTCCTGCAAAATCTGACTTCCTCCTTCCCCTTACTCCTACATCTTCCTCTCACTCAGGTCACCTGGTGCATTCGCCTGCCCCTAAAATACCAGCGGCAGTTCTGGTTGTCGTTCCTAATCCTCCAGATAGTCCCCAAAGAAGCACGAAAACCCGTCTGCATCAGCTAAACCGATAACTTTCTCACTTCAACATGGTGCTACAAGCTCTACAGTTAAGTCACCTATGGCATTGCGTCAGAACAGTGAGCCTCTAAAACTGAATCGTACTCCGACCCAAAGGAAAGGTAGTACAAGTCCACTTAGGGGTGTGCCGCGTTCTCTTAGATCTACCAAACCTTTACAGCCTAACTTGTCTACAAACAACACAGCCCCAATTATGCATCTACATAATTCCCTGTCCTGCATACCGGTTACTTGCCAAAGTCCTATTATATATCTGGTAAATCATTCATACGTGAATTGCCCTAAGTCATTTATCCCCCAACATAGTTCAGGCGTCCCAGCAATTAAGGCCAACTGTTCTCACCTGTGGAGCAGGTTACATTGGTCGAACGAGTCGGCGCTTATCCAAGAGAATACGGGAACACCTCCCGTAGTGGCTGGGAAAAGGCGAAACTATGAGCATAAGCAGCGCCATTATCGCGCATGCTGTCGATTCAGGACATCATGTACACTCCACTGAAGCGTTCGTGTGATCTTTAAGGTCCTATCGAGCTATCCCAAAGCACTGAGACAGCGCCTGTTAGCAACAGCAGAGATGACCGCCATCAGGTTGCGAAAACCGACCTTTTGAGCACAGAAGAATCACGTTCCGGTTCCGCGCCTACAGTGGTCGAATATCGACTAACGCTACAACCCTCCCGTGCCCTCGCGCTCTCACCCCGCCCCTGACACTGACCGCTATTACCCCCCCCCCCATTCCCACACCCAGCCTGTAGTTTAAGGCGAACTTTCATCGATTTATCCTATCACTGACGTGTTTGTTCATCTACCCCCTTCTCATATGATTTTACTGGCCCGACGAGAATTTATCGAAAGCTACGTATGCTCGCCACCTCGTCTTTAGGTATTATATTACTGAATGTCAGGTCTGTTATAAACAAGATGGCCTAGATCACAGCCATTGCTCTCGGAATGACGCCTCATATTGTATGTGTAACAGAATCTTGGACCCATTCTATAATTCATGAGTCTGCCCTTCTTATAGATGACTTTGACTTTTTCCGTCAAGACCTCACGACTAGCCGTGAGGACGGTTGTCTACTTTATGTTAGATCCTACGTAAAGCACCCCCCCCCCCTTATGACCTGGACGCCTCCTCATTCACGAAGAACTTCTGCTTTGCATCTGTTATTCTCTCGCCGCAAAGAAAGGCAATTATTGGCTGTATCTACGGTCCCCAAAATCTTTAGCCAGCGATGATCCACAACTCTGTAAAATCTTTAAAGCAATTTCGGAAGCTGCTTTCGATGTTAAAATAATCATTGGAGCTCATCAACACTCACAAGCGACGGCCAGCAGGCCAAGGTAGCGAAAGAAGAGGAAAAATCGATTAGCCCCAGGCGAAGTCATTCGGCTGTCTATTCTAAATTCTGATCGACTTTTTACTAGACGCTTTGATAATGTAAAGCCACCCTAGCTCTTCCAAACGTCAGCAAGCAAGTCCCTCGATACGGTGAGCACTTCTCATTCCTCAAATAATCACTGGGGTTTTTAACCTTCCCGAACTAGACTGGGTTTCCAATATCTGTACACCTAGATTCCAGCCGTTCCAACATATTTTCAACTTTTCTAACTGGTGTCAACTGGTGCGCTCTCCTACGGGAGATAACCGCGTTTCAGATCTAATCCTTACCAATGACATTGCTCCTGCTTTCGTTGCTTTTAAAAAGGACCTTTTCGATAGTGACCATGTATTAATTCATTGTTGCTTACCGCTTGCCTTTTCAAAAATGACCAGCACAGTTCGGGCTTATCTAAATTACGATTGCGTGGATAGCGACTTAATGAATAACTATATTATATCATCGGATTGATGTGGCTTCCTCTCCTGTGGCGATGTAATCATTCTTCCTGATGTCATGTCCAATGTTTTCAAGGACACCCTAGAGTTTGTGCCGCGTAGATATCTCAAGCCTAGTTCTTCAGATTCCCTTGGTCCTTATTTTCTTCGCAAAAGACTAAAAAGTTGAGACGACAGCTGCGTGACCTATCCACTTGTTCTTGGTCCGTTTATCGTAGTATCACCGAGATTTTCGAAATGGCATCAAGGATGCGCCAAGCGCGCTTCAGGCAAAGAGAATCACTTGCTCTCAGTGATCCGAACCCTGCAAATCCGTCACTAACATCTTCCGTCATCGGTCCTGCTCTAAGCGTGGTCACGAAATTCCACGTAAGCTAAACGACAGCAAAATCTTCCTCATCGATGTTACTGACAAGGCGGAGGTTTCCAGTGCGTTCTTTATAAAACACCTTACTATGGAGTTCGAATCAGTCTCTTTCTTTCGTTCACTTTCAGATAGGACACTCAGTACAATCGATATCTTTTTAAATCCAATCAAGGAAGATATAAGTCGTTTGAAAAACTCACACTGCTTAGTCAGTTATTATCGGTCTATATTTCAAACGGATTTTTCCTTGAAATATGGAAGACGTCAATTATAATTCCTGTCTTCAATTCTGGATCTCGGTCCGATGTTAATAACTATCGGGGCGTTCACAAAAGACCGTCTGTAGCAAAACCTCTTGAAAGGATGATTTCCAATGAAAATCTGGACCTCTGCCTAGCTAATCGGCTTCTGAGCTCTAACCAGCATAGATTTTTACCTGAACGATCCTGCGAAACTTGCCACTTGGCATTACTAAATCCAATCACTTCTCTTCGTAATGAACAGCAGTCAGGGGTAGTTATCAACTTTGATCTTAGAAAAGCCTTCGACAGGTTGTCCCATTGACGTCTTTTAGTTGAATTGGAGACTCTTGGCATTCGGCCTGCTTTACCCGACTGCATTGGGTTTTATCTATCCAACCACTACCAGGAACTCATCGTTGGTAATAGCTACTCGACACCTCACTCGACTAAGTTTGGCGTACTTCAAGGCATGATTTTAGGCCCGCTACTCTTTCTTCTTTACACCAATGATATTTCGACTGAAATGAAAATTCGCAAGCTTCTATTTATTCCGCCAAACTCAAGTGTGTTTTCGTGGTTGTTGATGTCATTTCATTTCGACCCCAAACGGTCTGTCGACGTTCACGGCGGCATACTCTGTATTCGCCATCTACTAGTAGTTTGGTCGTATACCCCTCGCCCCCTCCTCGGCTGGGCTCGAAGCGGACTGTGACCGGTCATGTCTGGGTTCCCCTCGTCTCGCCACTTTGACGCGAATAGCCTCATACGGTGTATGAACTCTGCTCTGACGATGTCTGTTTTGATTCCCTTATATAAAGCCTCATGCAGTCCAGTCCTGTCTGACTCGCATACTTACCCCTCATGGCTAAAATTTTTTCTGCCCTGACGATGATCGTTTATAATCCGTTATACACTGCCAAATGTAGGCCGGTCATGCCGGCATCTTTATCCTTTCAGGAGCGACAGTTTTTCATCTGTAAAGTTAATCCAATCATTTTGTTTGTTCTATAATGGAGTTTTTCCCTTGATCGTTCATTATTTTCCTCAAAGTACTACTTATTCAATAACTATGCATTGATTATTGTACAAATTCTGTCCACTTTTTCTAAAATTCACACGAAAATTTATTTTTACTTGCTATGACGGCACCCCGAAGGGTCTTAAATAAAATAATCTACTATTACTTAATATTCTAGTATCGACTGGCAAGCTTGAATTGTTTTGGGTCGAACGGATATATCTGGTTATCGGTTATGTGAGATGTCAGCGGAAAAAAGTGCTATCAAATAATCTGCTATCTAGAAGACGTGTTAGTGATGGATAGCGTTCGAATTGTTTAGAGCTTCTATTAAAAGACTGAAAGAACCACGACATAAACACTCTGAGGAACCCTTTGGAGCAGTGATTCCGTGCCTCGACAAAATTAACAAGCATTTCCTATGATACGACGATTTCCCAGGTCGCGCTTTATAACAGTTCTCATTCTGCTCTGCCTTTCTAGCATCATAACTGTCTCCTGACATGGTGACAACTACTTCGTTCTATTTAACATCGATATTCTCTCGGAATGACCACCTCGTGTTAGCTTCACTGAATGGGTCTGAAGCGGCTAAGCGGTGATGGTGTACGCTCAGTACGCCACAACTTCAGGCCATATCCCATGTTGGAAGAAGCGGGACACCATTTGGAGAGAAGACTTTATTTATTCTGTACAGAATAGGGAAGGACAGTTGGCAACCGGACGATGGTGCGTCCAGCGCCGCGGACACGGCGTCCGCGAGAGCGACGAGCCATGTGTCGCCGAAGGTCGCCGCTGCAAAAGTGTCGTGGCAGATTGTTTACGCTAGTGGACTGGACTGTTCGCCTGTCAATGTACCAATAAGCGAGAGGAGGAGTTTTGTTGATTGGCTCCGAACCCATGCGAGGGTAGTGACAAGTCTCGCTTAGTGCAGGCTGAGAATCGACCAGGTGCGTGGTGCAGACGGTGAATTGCAACGAGACAAATCGAAGCCGGGCAGACGTGCGTGGCGTAGCAGGCTGTCGCTAGGACGTAGGTGCAGGCGCTAGCGAGAGGCGCAACGTTGCCACTGTGGTTGTCCACGACAGGTCAGTCATGCCCCTAAGAGGTAGCACTTTTGACTTTGATAATATAAACAAGGCATTAGTACATAATTTTACGAGCACCCTAGATTGGCACAATACTTTTTCAAATACTTATCTAAATTTTTTCAAAAATTTGTTACAGTGCGTAACAGAAGGTCTTCTCGACCTTATTCCACGGAAGACAACTAAATACGGTGCGACTTCCCCGCTATCCCAAATTTTCCTAAAAACAAACTTCAAAAACTACGGTAGCAGCTTAAAGGTCCTCCCGTGAGCTCATTATCAGTTCACCTAAGAATCATTGAAATATTTGAATTAGTCTCGAAAATGAGGTTCGCGCGACAAAGGCATAGAGAGCCCTTAGCTATTTATGATATGCATGCTTCTAAATCAGTCTCTCAGGTCTTCCGTCAAAGATCATCGGCTAAGTCCCACAAAGTCATTCCGCCTTTGCTGAGCTCCAACTAGACCTTCATTACAGAGGAGTCAGGCAAAGCAGACATGTTAAATGCACTCTCTGCCAAACATTTCACCAATGAAACTGACCCAATCCCTTCAATTCCTCCGTTGTCTGTTACCTCTCTCAGCATCATGAGTTTTGCTTCTGAAACTAATCAAAAACTGATAAACCATCTTAGTAAGTCCCACCCAGCAGGCACGGACAATATCTCAAGGTCTCTTATAAAACAGCTACGAGATTTTCCGCTGCTTAGCAAACTCTTTTCCATCTTTCTCAAAATGGTTTCTTTCCTGACTATTGGAAAACATATATAATTCTGGCTGTCGTTCTGGTGTTCAAAACTATCGAGATGTCCATATAGCACCTCTCGTTAAAATTTCCGAAGAAATATCATTATGAAAATTATCGACCTTTGTATAGCCAATCAAGTTATTAGCCGTTCCCAACATGGTTTTACCCGATCGCTCTTGTGAAAAGTTTCATAGGTCATTTCTCATTCTACTTACATCTCCTCCTAAGGATCATGTACCTGTGGTCGTTATTTATTTTGATCTTAGTAAAGCCTTTGATAAAGTATCACATAAAAGACTCTAAGTTAAATTAGCAGGTCTGGGACTTCGTAGTCCCATTGTAGACTTTATCAAGTCATACCTGTCTAATCGTAAACAATAGGTCTTGATGAGATCTTCATTTTCCAATGAGAGCCTTTGCGATGCATCTACCACATTCTCTCCTCCCTCACCCATCTGATCTTCGTTTCATAACAGAATAAAGAACATCAGAGGCGGAATCGACTGGCGCAGCAAGCACCCACGCCCCCAGGTCTTCGAACAAAAGACCCGGATTCCATATACCAAAAAAAGGAATGGAGCGGCTCGGATCACAACTGAGTGGGAAGGCCATAAGTGTCACATTAGTAAGGAGTCATAGTAACTTAGCTCTCCGTCCTGAGAGGAGAACCAAATTATCCGTCTGTTAGTTACCTCCCAAGCCATGTCATTTAGCTCACTGTTATGGATTCAAGCGCGCCAGGTTGGTTGTGGTGAGGAATATTAATTGAGGATCGACCTCGACCTCTCTCACTCTCTCTCTTCCCTCTCCTGTGCATCTGTCGATTGCCTGAGCCAGTCAACCAGCTGATGCTATGACTGCGCGCAGTGACCGGCATATGCAACTTAAAACAGCCCATCTGTGCGCGTCTCACACTACCTAACCCACACGCAATACACCAGAATTTCACTCAAAGGGGCTGGGCTACTCGGATCTCACATGCGTTAGAGTAGCAGAAGGGCGCAATGGAGAAGGAGACGAAGATCACATTTCTCAATTAAGTGGGAGGTGCTTGTTCCGTGCTCATCCTCTCTAATAACCTCCAGG